GAAAGAGAGGGGAAAAAAGGAAGGTGCTACATAGACGGAAGCGATTTCCTTCAGTTATTGACGATCGGCGTGAAATCACATTCTGCAAACCCTGTCTCGACGTTTTAATATCATTCGCCGACAGTGGCGCGAAAAATCCAATGTATATTCTTGAAACACGGGTAGAGACGGGGAGGAGAGAAGCGAGGAAAATGGACATGACGCGGAACGACGGGTGATATTTCATTGAAATACCAGGGTTCCTCCGTGTCTTTTTTGCAAAATAGCGCGTGCGTCTGTCCTTTGTAAATTCCATTAATATTTAAAATATTTGCCTTTCCCTCTTTCTCATCGCGTTTCGTCTTTGTTTGCGCGGCGTGGCGGCAAACAAGAACCGAGAATAATTGAGAGACCTGGCGAACAAGACGAAAAGGCAGCTTTTTTTTTTCGGCCAGTTTGGCAATTGTCCGCGGATTTTCCGCGATATTTTTTCAAGCGGACTGACGTCTCGCGCAGTCGGTTTCACGTCGGCTGGCAGATATTTCCGAGAAGTTGCAGACCTGCAGAAATTACGATGCTGCGTCACCGACGTTTCCTCTGCCGTATTTTCGAGCTAATTTCGAGCAGTCGAATCGTTCGCGCGAGATAAATCCCCCCTCGTATTTTCGCTTAGAAAGTGCTTCTGTTTTCTTTAATGCGCCCCTGTCGCTCTCGAGTAGAAATCTACGATGGTTTCAACGTTTCATCGCGACGAAACTTTTGCGCCGTACGTTTGGAAACTTCAGACACAACCGCCGTGGATTAAAGTAAATGTAAAAACCCCGTTACGAGGGGTAATTTCATCTCTGTGAATTATCCGTTTGATGATTCCTGCGAGGTGTGTAATTGTAAACAAGTACAGCTGCAACTTTTACACGCGTTTATAGATCGTGTCTCAAACTTGATTAACGTAGTTGGTCACGATATTCGAGTCTCGCTGCAAATATCAATTATAAAATTATACTTCTATATTAAAAAAAAA